TTTGGAGCAGGGTCTCCTTATAGCCCCAGCTGGCCTGGAACTTGCTATGTAGCCCAGGCTGGCCTTGATCTCACAGAGATCTGCCTGCCTCAGTCTCCTGAGTGCTGGGATTAAAGGTATGTGCCACCATGCCTGGCCCCAATGACAATTTCTAATTTCATTCACTATATCAATCTCCTTAATATCTTCCAATTTGGGACATGGAGATGACTTTGTTGATAAAAGGACTTGCCATGCAACTCTCACAACTTGAGTTCAATTCCTAGAACCCATGGTAGAAGGAGAGAACTGACTCCTTCTAAAAGTTTTCCTCTGCTACATGAGTGCTGGGTCATGTGTGGGCACCCACACACTCATATCATACACACATTCATAATAAATGAAATGGAATTGACCTCTGTATTTGTGAGGAACTTTGGGTTGGGCATTATCAAGGACTGCCTGTTTATCAATTTATTATGACCTCCCCATTCACATCATAGGTACAGTAACAGTTTGTGTAAAATGCATGTCAGTGTTTGCTGGCAGGGAAGGCGGGCCAACCTCTTCTTTGATAAAAAGGTTCTGTTTTCAGAGATTGAATGTTGAAGGGGAGAGGAGGGGAGTTGATTGTGGTGATGGAGCTAATTTGGGGAGGGGTGGGGGGATATGATGACAGAGTGGTGGCTATGGAAAGAGATCTCATGTCTAGTCTTGACTTTGTAACATTGTTTTGGGCAGATGTTCATCTTGGGATTTCAGGCTCCTCTTCTTCCACAAAATCATGTCAAATGTCTTCAACTTTAAAAGCCGTTCATGTATCTTTAACATGCTAGTTTAAAAAAGACTTTTAACCTGGCATGGTGGTGCACACCTTTAACCCCAGCACTTGGGAGGTGACGGCAGGTGGATGGATCTCTGTGAGATTGAGGCCAGCCTGGTCTACATAGTAAGTTCCAAGCCAGCAGGGGCTACAGACAGACCCTGTCTCAAAAAACCAAAATAAGTAAATAAATAAATAATAAAAGACTTTAAAGTAGCATATATCAGTTGTACAATAATGTACAAATAATGGCTTTCTTTTTATAAAGAATTATTATTACTATCAGTATTATTGTGTGTGTATGATGTATGTGTAAGTGCAAGTACATGTGTGCCATAGTAACTTCTGGAGATCAGAGGACAAACTTTCTGGAGTTGGCCCTCCCCTTCCACGTGGGTCCTAGGAATCAAACTCAGATCATCCCATTGCTCAGGAAGAGTACTTACCCACTGCACCATCTCACTGGCCCCAAATAATAGTTTTAGTGTCACCTATACACATATGCTTATGACATTCTTTGGCCATAGTCACTCCCTAGCAGCTAATTAATTTTTTATTTCTATCAAGTTTTCATATATGTAAGGTCCTGGTTTTTTAAAATTGCATGATCAAGCAGCTGCAAGTAAATTGTGATTTATTTCTGATTTTGAATAATGTCCAGCATGAAGCCAGGCATGCTAGCTGTCTAGGGAATGGGAAATTTTTCCTCCTGACTACCAGACAACCGATCTATCACAGTTTTCCTCTAAAATCAAGATTCACTTATAAAAGAAAAATCCTGGGCCAGCAGGTCGGCTTATGTGGTAAAGGTGCTTGCTGTATGCTACTCAAGTTTGACAACTGAGTTCAATTCTTGGAACCCAGATAAAGGTAGAAGGAGAAAACTGACTTCACAGCTGACTTCATGTCCTCTGGCCTGTACATGTGCTATGTGGCATGTACACATACAAATACACATTGTACACACACAACATACACATCATACTCCATGTACACATATCTCACGTCTCACATATTGCATACACACATACATCACACACACACACACACACACACACACACACACACACACACACGCACAAATCCTTAGTCCAGGGAATGCCTTTTCCAAACCACTCCTCTTGAACATTGGTTGAAATCCAGGGTATTGTCAAAGGGTTCTCTGGAGTAGCTCCCCACCCCAATCCCAGTTCTGTTGAATCCCTGGAGAATGTGTGGCAGCCAGCTCAGATTAGTGGCCTCAGAAGTATACATGGCATGCTCTGAAATCAACAGAATTAGTACCACATTCTTCTTGGTTTTTAATCTATGAAGTTTCTCCCTGAGTGTTCTTGTAAATGTGTGGCATTAAATACTCTTGTCCTTTTGATGGAGCGTATATATGGCTATGAAATGTGAGCAAAGTGATCACTCTACAGTGGCCTCCAAATGTTCTTCCAGTATCTCAGTGGACCTATTTATGCACTCATGGAGATCCCGAGTCCAAAGAGATTCAATGATGTCAAAAAGGGTCATCAGCCCCTGGTCTTTTGTCAAACAAATGTGACAGAACTTCACCAGAGAGGAGTTTGTGATTCCTGGTTCATCTAAAAGCTACAACTTTGATGAAGCCTGCCCTCTCCCTAGCATTCTTCTGCGGAGGCACTGGACCCCTGAGTAGTCTTATGTTAAGGCCCAGATCGGCACCCATCTTGGAGTTCAGCCTCATGGGACCCATGCACTTCCCTCTCTGCCCTCTGCCTTAGGACTCTGTCACCACACCGGGGCGATCAAAGACAAAAGCTCACTGCAGTTTTTCTTTTGGAACAATATATATTCAAGAGGGACTTTTAAGCTAAAGAAGAGCCCCCTTTGTCTGCTACAGCCGTGTGGAGTTTCAACTTGCCTTGGACTTCCTCTGAGATGTTTTAAGATCCGGTGTGAACTTGCTGTGGTTTGCCTTTGGGCATCAAACTGTTTAGCTTGGCTCCATTATATCTGTAATTGCTGAATTTTAATAATTGCCCAATATTCTTGTCAGCAATTTGCAGTCCATATTTTTAATAGGACCATTTGACTTTTTTTCCACGGGTTCCTTTAGACCTGGTGTAAGCCCCTGGATTAACGTGGCACAGCCCCACAGGCCCCGTGCAGATGTGGACAGGGGTGACATGAGCTCATTAAATGTTCCCACAAACCCCAAGCCATCTTCTGAGAGCTCTTATGGGGCTTTGCTTTATTAAAATTGCTGTTAGTGTTTGTTGAAACGGTATATCCTTTTAGAGAGGTTTTTCCTTATCAACCCATTCAGGAAATATAATTTTTCAAAGAGAAAAAGACAGGGATAAATTCTCCTTGCTTGTTGTTGAGTTCTTAAGCTAACAGAATTCCATTTATGTGAGGTGGCATGGGATGATAGTGATGGAGATGTTAGAATTGAAGGGAATATGGAAGTCAATGCTGTGGCTTCCAGATTGCTCAGTAACTTAGTCAGTATTGTACCACTATGACCTGAACCCCAACTTCTCTGACAACTTTGATCTTTTAGTGATTTTGCTGTTTGGCTTCAGTTATCTCCCTTCAAAAAAGCAGCAACAAAACCTCGTTTCTTCTTTTTCTTTTGTAAAGTTGTTTCACAATAAATGAAACTTGTTGGACAGTATCTAAGAATTACATAAATGACTACACCCTAATCTTTCCAGTTTGTCATTCAAAAGACTTTAAAGAGAATGGAGAGTTAGTAATAAGAGTAGCTTACATTGATTGATTGATTGATTAGTTATTATGGGCTAGACGCTTTTCTAAGTATGTGCTCCCACGCACGCTCTCTCTCTCTTCCTCCCTCCCTCCTTCTCGCCCATGTGCCAATTCAAATTGAGACCCTGTCTCAAACAAAAAGAAATCCCTCTTCCAGCATGCACATTGAAACTATACAACTGTGGACAGGAACAAGTTAGAAAGACCCCTCTAGATTATCTAACCCAATGTTAAGTTAGTCTTACACAGGACAGAGTCAGGGAAGATCTTTTTTCCTTTTTAAATGTTGGCAAATACACCAGGCGTGGTGGCACATGCCTTTAATCCCACAGCACTTGGGAGGCAGAGGCAGGTGGATCTCTGTGAGTTTGAGGCCAATCTGATCTCCATTAGCGAATCCAGGCTAGCTGTGGCTACAGGGAGACCTTGTCTCAAAAAGACCAAAAAAAAAAAAAAAAAAAAAAAATTTGGAAAAAAAAAAAAAAAAAAAAAAAAAAAAAAAATGTTGGCAAATAGTTGAAATAGCTTTGCCTTTTTATGGTTCTTTGTTGTTTGAGATCAAGTCTCAGTGTAATTTAACTTGATCTTGTGATAGCCCTGTCATTATGACCTGAGATTGAATCCCTAATCGGAGCTATTTGTTTGCTTGCTGGTTAGGGCATGTACCCAGTGGCCCTGATTACTTTAGTATCATGGTGTGACTGCTGAGTTACAGGTATACTGTAAGTTCCTTCTGTAGTCCTGAAAATTCTATATAGAATCAAAGATTGTGTTGGTATGTGCCTATGTTTCCAGCCAGGCAGGGAGGTTGAGACGGGAAAATCTTTTGAACCCAGGCATTCTGAGTTAGCCTGGGTAACATAGTAGGACCCTGTCTCAAAACAAACAATTCCCCTCAAAACCCCCTTAAAACATTTAAAATGTCAAGTATAGGAACCCGAGGGATGGCTCAGTGGCTAAAGGCAGGAGGGCCTTGCAGAGGACCTAGCTTTGGTTCCCAGCACTCTCATTGCAGCTAACAACCATCCAAAACTCTAGTTTCGGGAAACCTGATGCCCTCTCTGACCTCTGTGGGCATTGCTGGACATGGGTGCACTTACAATACAAGCAGCTAACAACCATCCAAAACTCTAGTTTCTGGAAACCTGATGCCCTCTCTGACCTCTGTGGGCATTGCTGGACATGGGTGCACTTACAATACAAGCAGACAAAACACTCCTACACATAAAAATAAATTAAAAAATTTAAAATGTCAAATGTAATAATGTCACTTTCGAAAGTATTTGCTATAAAAGTATTAAGTAATCACCACCCCACCTTAGTTTGCTTGAGTGCTATCCTGGTAGTTTCAAGACAAATTTCTTCTCTTAAATACATTTCAGAAATTCTCTATTTAACTTTGATGTATGCTTATGATATGTGGACATTATGCTTTCTTACTGAAATTTGTTTATTTTTATAGGCAATTAGAAAATTGCAGAGAGGGATTTTAAGGCCACTTGGGACTGGCCAAGCTTGCTTGTGACCTGAAGCAGCAGAGGCTGAGGTGACTAGAGTGGACTTGCTGTCGGAGAAATGATGACATCCCACCATGTGCTTGCCATGTTTGCCCTGATGAGCTCCTGTGTGGCCACTGCAGGTAAACTGCACATTACACACTGCTTGCTCAATGAATATGTTTTTTTCTCAGTCTCTTGGGTTTCAAAAAATGTAGGCCATATGATGTTCATGTAACACTTCATTAGTTATGTTCTTTAGCTAAATGTAATCTTTGACTACTATACAGATACATAATATGTTTACTTGTGTTGTGTTGTAGTTTCTTAGGTTGGGACTGGGCATTCTAATGTCAGTGGCATAGGTACCCAGCTAACCTGTGTTAAGGTAGGTAGCCAGTCAATGGACTAATGATTACTCTCATTTGATTTTGTTACATGCATAGATTATAATGGAATAATAATTAAAAATATTATTATTATTATTTTATGTGTATGAGTATATTGTCTGCATATATGTAAATGTATGTGTCCACAGAGGTAAGATGAGGTCATTGGATTCCCTGGAAATGGATTTATGGATGGTTGTTACCTGTCATGTGGGTGCTGGGAACAGAACCCTGGTCCTCTGGAAAGCAGCCAGTGCTCTTAAACCGCTGAGCCATCTCTTTAGCCCCTGGAATAGGAATTTTTCTTAGACTCCATCAAGTATATTTTCTGTTGTACTTCATTCATTCATTCATTCATTCATTCATTCATATGTGTTAGCCCAGGCATATCATGGTGCCTGTGTAGAGTTCAGAGGACAACTTTCAGGAGTCTCTTCTCACCTATCATCAAGTTCAGGTCATCAGGCTTGGCAGCAGGTACCTTTATCCCCTGAGCCATTTCACCAGCCCAGAACTAAGAGCCTTTTTATCCTTTATTGTAAAATAAATAGATCTTCCACTTAAAGGTGATACTCTTGTTGTGAGCTTCTTTTGGGGGTGGTGGTATTTAATATATTTCAGATATATTAATAAATAACTTTTTAAGAAGTAGAGAGGGGCTGAGCGGTAGCTTGTCATTATAGTGTTTGACTAGCATGCATGAGGCCCTGGGTTCTGTCTCTAGCACTGAAAAAAAGCAAAGACAAAAATGGAAAGAAGAGAAGAGAAATGCCTTTTGTTTCTCAGAGACCACTGGAATGTAAGGTTGGAGCTCTGGAAAGGAAATGATTGAGTTGGTAGTATCAGATCCCCCACAGTAACATCTTAGTTTTCCATATCAAGGTTATTTAACACATTTGGAAGGTTAATTTGCTCTATTTTGTTATTTGCTTTGTGTATGGACTATAATGAGCTATATAACAGTAACTTGTTGGATCAGTTCTCGAAATTGGTGGGTCTCAACAAGAACAGCACCCACTTGAAAAGCGATGACCCTCTTGGTGCTGGCAATATGGAGACATTTGGGTGATTCACACTGTGTTGCATAGCTGGGAAATGGAGGAACCAGATTTACATTTCACACCCTGTGTGGTGGACAGAAGAAATCATCCTACCATGGAGGCTCTGGGAGACTCAGACTGGGGGTTGTTTGTAGACAGACTGCAAGAAAGCTGCTGGGCAGAAGTTAGTGTTTGAGACTAAGAGCAGAATGCTCCTCCCATTGCAAATATTTTGAAAGAAAGTTGTTGGGTTTTTTTTTTTTTTTTGAATGCCAGTGTGTGAGCTTGAACTGCCCATTCTCTTTGTGTGACTCTGTCAGCAGTTTCATTTTGTGTCATTATTGAAGAGTTATTTGCCTTTTAGTATCTGTATTAAAATGGATCTCCTCCTCCTCCTCCTTTCTTCTTCTTCATCTTCTCCTTCTCCTCCTTAGAAACCCAGATTTTTCTCTGCACAGAAATTCCTACCCCAGCTTATTTGTTCTCTTATGTCTTTCTTTTAAATAAATTGATTCTGTTGTGATTTTAAATTAATTCTTTCTTCATCCAGTAACCTAGACACAGCTATTCTGCCCTCCCCCTCCTCCCCCTTCTTCTCCCCCTCCCCCTCCTCCTCCTCTTCTTCGAGACAGTCTCATTCTGTAGCTCTGGCTGGCCTGGAATTTACTATGTAGACCAGGCTGGCTTCAAATTTTCTTCCTGCCTCAGCCTCCTGAGTGCTGGGATTAAAGATGTGTGTCAACACCCCCAACTAAAATGGGTCATATAAAAACTTTTTTCATCAATTATTTACTTTTGCATGTATGAGTGTTTTGCATGTATGTAAGTGAACCACAAGTGTATAATGAACCATGTGTGTGGAGGTCAGAAGAAGTCATTGGATCCCCTGGAACTGGAGTCATGGATGGTTGTTAGCTGCCATGTGGGGCCTAGGAACCAAACCCAGGTGCTGTGGAAAAGCAGCCAGTGCTCTTAACTGCTGAGACATCTCTCCAGCCACCTAAAATGGATCTTAACATTAAAATGAATCAGGAGGTGGGAAGAGGGCACACATTTATTGTGATGAGAAGGGTTGGAACCATGCCCAGGGTGTCGAAGGAGGGCTTTCTGCCCTCACTGTGCCTGGCTCGGACGGAAAATACGACTGGACTAGAGAGGTGCTTCGTGGGAAAGTGGGGAGTGTGATGGTTCTGTTGGTTCTGATAGTGAATCAGTTTTGCTGAAGACTTCCTTCCTCTTTCAGACCATTGGGGAAAAAAGAAAAAAATATTTATACAGAGTTTCATATATCATCAAAGCTTTGTGGAGGTGGAAGAGACAGTAGCGCCACAGATTTTGTAAAAGCACAGGGCAGCTGATACATAGTCTGGAAGGAGAGGTGTGTGTGTGTGTGTGTGTGTGTGTGTATGTGTGCGCGCATACGCACGCACACATATGTATGGGTGTGTATGGGTGTGTGTGCATCCATGTTCATGCATGTTCGTGTGCATGGGTGCACATGTATATGGGTGTGTGGGGAAAACTTCAGGTGTCATTCCTCAGGCATTGTTCACTTTTTGCTGAGACAGTCTCTTAGTGGCCCAGAACTCAGCAGGTAGGCTAGGCTGCTGGCCAGTGAGCCTCAGGGCATCTGTCTGATTCGTTCCCACCAGTGCTGGGATTAAAAGTGTGTGCCATTGTACCTTACTTTTTTATATGGGTTCTGGAGATTGAACTCAGGTCTTCGTGCTCGCAAGGCAAACACTTGACTCACTGAACCATCTCCCCGGTCCTAGGGATGTCTTAAGTATAGAAATTTATTGATTGGTGCACAACCCAATGGACCAGATAAATGAAGGAGGGAAAATAGGTCTTACATGAGCTAACATACGAATATACAATTTCTCTCTCTCTCTCTCTCTCTCTCTCTCTCTCTCTCTCTCTCTCTGTCTCATTCTCTCAACAGGGTCTCATGTAGCCCAGGCTGGCCTGGATCTTACTATGTAGCTGAGGATGACCTTGCTATATAGGTTCAGAGACCATCACAAACTGCTTTTGGGGTATTATGTGCTAGGCCCCATTCAAAGTGTCACATGTATTATCTCATTTCGTTTCCAGAACAACCCTGAGAAGTGTAGGTACTTTGATTATTCCCAGGATAGACAGGAAACTAAACTACAGAAAGATGCAGTCATTTCTCAAGGTCAAACAGTGAATAAACAGCAGATTTAAACATAAATTACGTTTAGCGATTGAACCTTTAAATCTCTGTAATTTGAGAGTGTTGATCTGAAGGGTATTTGCTTTGAAAGGGGCC